ATTTAGAGGAAAACCCATCTGGGTTTTGGATTTTGATTGGAATTGTAAACAAATTCTTCATTAATTAGGGAAAACCCATCTGTTTTTTTTGGATTTTTATAATTTGGAATTGGGTTGCTGATTTTGTGTGGTGATGACTTTTGCTGGGAACGATGAGGAGGAAGGGTTAGTGGTGGTGATGCCAGCGCCGTTGTTGGGGTTGGCGAAGGAAGATCTGAAGGGTGATTATGTGAAATTAGGTGGTGATGATTTGGGGGAGGATAATAGGTTTGTTTCGGGTTGTATGAGTGCTTCGTCTTCTGAGCTGAGCTATGAAGGGAATAGCAGATGTTGGTCTCTTTGGTGGTGGGCTAAGCTGGTACTTGTTCTTATCTTTGTTGGAGTATTGGCTGCTGTTTTTCTCAAATGGGTTGGACCCTTCTTCATGGATAAGGTCTGTCTGAGCAAGATTTTTGTTTTTTCTTGTAAAAAGATCTCTTTTTTGGAAATGTATGTCCAATTAGATTATATATTATACTTGCTTATATTATTGATTGCATGTGGGAAGTGGAATTATTTTTACCTGCTGGTGAATATTTGTGAGAGAGCACTTTGTTTAGCTGTTTTGCTTGCGCTATAAGTGCATTGATTCATGCTTTTAAGGGATAGGTGATTGATAAGTTTGAGTGTGAGTTTGTTGATGCTTCAGCGAAACTGGAGATTGTAATGTGTGATGTCTTTCATCAACTACTAGTCTTTATTCTGTTAAAGGCTCCTGATTTTGGCTTATGGAGGAAGTCTGACCTACTTAAACCGATCCCGTTAGTATTTGCTGATTCTGTGAAGTGACTTGGATTTTGAGTACTTACTAAACTTAGTACTTTAGGTGGAAGAGTTGTTGTGAAGCTGCAGCTGAGCTCTATGCTGCTAACTTAATAATTTTATGAGTCAGGAGAGTTAATCATTCATTTAGCGTTGGAATGAAATTGACCTGAATAAGATGGGATGCTTATGGAGTACTAAGATTCATTTAGCGTTGGAATGAAATTGACCTGAATAAGATGGGATGCTTATGGATTACTAAGGGTAGTTTATTAATGGATTGACTGCTAACACCATACATCATACTATTTTGGTATTTCTATCTGGTGATTCAATTTATCAACACATGTTGTGATGCAGATCACCGGGGTTTTATGATTCTGAATCATATTAATCTCTGACTGTTGTTTTTCATATTTCAGGAGATTATTCCAATACTGAATTGGGAAACCAGGACATTCAGTACTCCAGTACTAGCAGTTCTAGTTTATGCTTCTGTGGCGCTATTCCCCACCCTGCTTTTACCATCCACTCCCTCCATGTGGGTAGCTGGGATGACGTTCGGATATGGTTTTGGTTTTCTACTTATCATTACAGCAGTTCCTATTGGTGTATCTCTTCCTTATTTCATAGGTCATCTTTTCCATCACAAAATCCAAGTACGTACTTAATTACTTTCACCAGCTGATTGTACTGTCTTTCATTTTAGTTATTGACTCAAATGAATTAATTAATCTCTTTCTTTTTTCTCATGTAGAGCTTGATAGAAAGAAATCCCAAGAATGCTTCTGTTATAAGACTAGCTGGTGAAGGGAATTGGTTTAATCAGGCCCGAGCTGTCACATTAATTAGGATTTCCCCTTTCCCCTACATAGTCTTTAATTACTGTGCAATGGCAACTGGTGTCAAGTACTGTCCTTATTTGCTGGGGACACTCATCGGCATGGTTCCAGAAATATTTGTTACAATTTACACGTAAGAATTCTCTTTCGTTTCTTGTGTATGAATATTGGCTTGCTGTGTGTATTTCTTGTTACAGCAATATCTGTTGATGAATTACCTATTAGGAGTGTGCAATTCCTGCTTTCCGTCCCTCTTATGTCTGCATTGCTCCCTCTCCTCAAACCTCTGGTTCTAAAGATTATATAATGCAACCTTTATGGGATTACACTCTACCCTCCCCCGACCTCACTTGTAGGATAGTATGTTGTTGTGGGTGCACTAAAAAAGATAAGGGATAATAATCTACTTCTCAATGAGTAAAAATCTTCTCTATTCCATCAAAAGCTATCATATTTCTCCCCATGGTCCACTCAAGTGCCATGAGAGCTACATCCCACGTCCTACATCTTCTCTTCCATCTCTTTATTAGCCATCTGAACATGGCTTCTTTAACCGTGCCTGGCATTATAACTCGACCAAATTATAACAGTGTTTTCATCAGAAGCGAGACACTATCCAGCAATCTAGAAGTAGGCGGTCATATCTTCTCCCGAGCTTTTAAACCTGATGCACCTACTGACTTGTAATCTTCCTCTTTTTCAAATTGTCAGCGTTAACATCACCTTCTCACAGCCAGCTGATTTGGAAAGGGATAATATGTATGTGGGTATAAATGCTAATTGTTCTTCTCCAAGTTATGTTTTGATCCTGGTTAATGTTTGGGGTTTGAAGTACAAAAGCAATTTGGTTGATGTGTCAGCATAACTTTGTTCAATGCTGGTGGAGAAGTTCTTTAGCTCTCCTTTCCTCTTTTCCCCTTGCCGTGCTTCTGGTTGCCTATAATTTTGAACTTTGACGCACAACCTGACATTGTTTTTTAACTTAGTTAAATCTGCTCTCTATAAGTGAAGGTCATTGCAGAATATTTGAGAAACCTTATTCTCAAATCCAGAAAAGCTATTTTTTCTTGCTTCCTTGTCCTATTATATTTTATTATATCTCTGTTTTAGGGGGACTCAGTGTTGTGCAATGCTACACTAAGATTTTATTCTTTCAGCTATGTAACTGTCATGCTCTTGCTGTTGTATTTCTCTGACAAAGAATTAACTAATTGTGGACAACATTTAAGCTTTTATGTATCAATCATGAAGAAAATAGTTATATCTCAAGAAAAGTTATTGTGGAATTCAAATTGATAGTAAAATATAGTATAGTAATAAGATTTGTGCTTCATGGCCGAAGCTAAAGTTAACGTCTAATTTAAACACTTGATAGTGATTTCAAAACCCATAAAACTCTTCATCAATAGTTATATGAAAGGATTCGAGGACTCGCATTAACAATAATGGTTCTTCATTTCAACTATTATATTTGCACTAGTTACATTCTTATAGTGGGAAGGCATAGAAGTAACTTGTGACCGGGGATCATTTGGCTTACCTATTCTATTAAACAATAAGAAATTTCTGTTTTTACTAGTTAATTTCTTTCAAGGTAATTGTAGTCCACGTGTACGTGATTTTAGGAAGAAAAAGAAAAGCAATTGATTTGTGTCTTCTCCTGGTTTTTCTATCTATGGTTGTTGATTCTATTTCCATATTTCTAATTGCACAGTTTTATTGCCTTTCATCTTTAGTACTCTGCTTGTCTCTGATGATTTGGGTTTTTGTTCCTTCTGCACTATTGTTTTGGAGGACCATTGTGGCAGGAGTGCCATTGGATCGGACGGGTTCCATGGTTCATTCTCCGGGGAGAGTGCACACTGAACACAAAGCTAACTTTTTCCTAGTTTTAGGAGGGTTTCATTTGGTGTATGCTGCCTGCCACACTCTGACAGATGTTTACTTTTTCATTATTAGAACTTCCTCTCATCTGGTCTTATTCTTTTAAAATAGTGTCCAGTTTACTGATTAAGAAAATTTGAACTTGCTGAATACCTTTACGTCCAACTTTCTCTGCAGTGGCATCCTGATAAAGACACTTGCAAATGCCTCGCAAGAGCAACGTTTTTTATCAGCTCCACAGATCATTCTTAATGTTCTTGGATTTAGTTTCACGTTTATTACAACGGTGCTGATCACTGTATATGCAAAAAGGCGGCTCAAGGAACTACAGAGAGATGAGGAGCTGTTGCTACAGTAAGCTTCTGCTTTGTATTTGTGTCAGGACAGGTGAAAGAAAGGAAGGAAGTAAAGGGGACTCAGAGATTCTTTGATGACCGAGAAGGTCATCTGCATCCATCGAGAATCTTTATCGCTGCATAGGATAATATTATCTGCACATCACCTTATAGCGGAGACCAAGCGACAAATCATTTGTCGCGCACCACTGCAAGGAATTTCAAAAGCAGGAGACTTAACACAACTGACATACAAAGAGGGGAACAATCACTTCTCTCATTCAACGCTTTCGTCCCATATTGGTTAGACCATGCTCTGTACATAATTGAATAACCCAATTATGGGTAAAACTGAATTAGGTCTTTGAGTATTTGAAGAATTAGTGCTTGAGAGTGACAAACATATATATGCTTTGATTAAACTTTGCTACTTTCTGTAGATAATGAGGAAAGTTTTGGTCTTTACCACCTTGTTTACTTGCAGCATACTGTTTGTTAAGACTAGAATTAGTGGCTTTCTATGTCAACCATTTTCAACACTTTTATGTGTTCAATGAAAATGTATAATTTTTATTCAACTGTATCTTGTTTTAACTTTATTTCTGAATCTAATTCTCTCACCAATATTTGAAAGAGTTTAATAGAATTAGTTGGAGCTTTTCCAGAGTTCGAATTGGTTGAAGTTGAATATGAAGCATGCATCATCAACTAAAAGAAGAAAATTACACTAAAGTTTTCAGAAATTTAGAGGAGGTTTTACCCTCCAACTCAAGTTGTCGTGCAGCGTATATATATTTCTTTTACACTCTAACTCACTATAACACCCTTCACGGTGCACCTAGAGTTCCCGTATTTCTTATGGACTTGAGCGAGTCCGACCCATAAACCTAATGAATTCGATATATTTCTTTTACACTCTAACTCACTATAACACCCTTCACGGTGCACCTAGAGTTCCGTGTTTCCGAGTCCGACCACCCTTCGGTGCACCTAGAGTTCCGTGTTTCTTACGGACTTAAGCGAGTCCGACCACGCAGATCACGGTGTACCTAGAGTTCCGTGTTTCCTACGGACTTAAGCAAGTTCGACCCATAAACATAATGAGTTGGTTTCGCTTAAGCCCAACTAAGATTATATAGGCCCATATTACCTGAAAAAAGGCTAAGGTAATGTAACGCTGTCGTTTCTTATCATCTTCTCAACCAGAAAGGTCCAATTTTCAACTCATTTTTTCTCAAATTGGAGCTGAGTTTTACGGCAAAAATGGCTGTTCAAGCTATCTCCACAGTGGCAGCAACTTCTAAGAGCATCAATCAGCTGAATTGCAGAGGAACCGATTCATTTCTCTGGACCAAAAACCCATTGGAACTGAAAAATCTGCAGTGTAAATGGCTAGGTACTCCAATCAAATTCTCTCTTCAGTCCAAGAATTTCAAGCAATTTCTGTCAAAACAGTGCACTATTAGAGCAAATGTCTCCTTCGTCCTTCCCCGTGGGTCAGTTTCTCACACTTGCCTATCCTTGCATTTTTTTAATCCATTTTTAAAGTGTTTTTTATGGACCCAAATGGATTTAGAGAACTCATGTAGCTGATCCCAGTTGTTTTGGGCTTGATTGATTGTATTTATTCTGGGTTAATCGAAATTTTAGCTTCTAAGCTACAAAGATGATAGCTTTGTTTCATTTTGTTATTGCAGGAAGTCGGAGCCTACAGTACCAATAGAGAAAATTCCTAAGTGAGTGTTTTCCTTTTAGTTCTTGTTTTATTTGTTTTGTTGCACAAGAAAAAGGAGGAGGAGAGTTTTGGGATATTGGTTGTTGTTTGATTTTGTTGTTGTTCATTAGTTGGTATTTCAATGTGTTTTGAGGTATCTTTGATTGGGTGAGTGAAATTTTAGATGGTCAGCAAAGGCGGTAAAATCATTTACCATGGCTGAACTGGAAGCAAGAAAACTTAAATATGATACTACTGGAACAGAAGCTCTTATCCTGGGGATGTTGATTGAAGGTTTGTCGATTCTTTATTTTTGCTAAGAAAATTTTTGTTGTTTTTTGTCGATATACTATGTTTGATCCTGCAAACACGGTGGAACTCTTAATGCTTTGTTACTCGTGATGCTAGTAACTTAAACTAGTATTTCAATGAACATAGACAGAAGATAATTTCTTGATGCGAGCATTCTTTAATGTAAGAATGTGGCTTAACAATGGAGTTTTTGCTAGAGATATTAATGAGAATAGTTGTTTCACGTTTTGCATATACAGAACACATCTTTATTCTTGGCAAAGAACTTACCCAACAATATGAAGTTACCAAAGCCACTTTACATTGCTACTAAAACATTGTGATATGTTCAAAGTTTTTCAATACGTTAAAGAATTAGGTTAGGGTTGAGAGGCTCTTGGGTTGAACTATATGTACTGTGGCTTCTGATGTTAGTTGCTCTTTAGAGGATCCTAAAGTAAATTGACCGGTATATAAGACAATAGGAGACAAGATTGCAACTTCATTGGAAAGAATTTTTCTACACTTCAGTTTATGTCTGGAAAAATGTGGCACACAGAAGTCGGTACACAACACTTGTAAGTTGATGGGAAATGTCATTCTGTTGACTTCAGCTTATATGAATTAGGAACTCTTTGCACCAAGAACATCATTTTGACATAGACAGAAACAACTATTAGAGATTATGACGGCCTCTCTGTATAATTTGAGAGATAAAAGAAGAAAAAGATAGTTTACTTTTAGGATAGGTCATTTTGACTCTGTTTATATCCCTTCCCCCATGATTTAAGCTGCTCTAATCATTTTGGTGAAATAGCTTCGATGAATACTTGTTCTGCTACTTGAAGTAAGTCATGTTAGAGCATTCATTTCATTCCGACATCGCAGGGACAAATTTTGCTTCAAAATATTTGATGGCAAACAGTATTACTCTCTTGAAATTTCGTGAAGAAGCTATCAAAATACTTGGAAAAGGGGACGTATTCCATTGCAGTCCCAAGGAACCTCCTTTGACTGAAGACGCGCAAAAGGCTCTAGATTGGGCATTTGATGAAAAACTCAAATCCGGTATGTATATACTCCCACTCAATTTTACACATACACATGTTTATTGAATTGATGCATCTCTATGCCTTCACAAGTATCTCTAAAATTCCTGTTTGAACCTTGGAAAATATTTAAATGAATCACGTGGAGGAATGATCTTTGACTTCACAAGATCTACTAGCATGAAGGTGCTTGCAGAAGCAAATTTGAAATTCAAGTGCTTGCTTGATTGTACTGGTCTTAGGAGTATAACAGTGTCACTTAGCCAAATATGCTATACCACAAACTTGTCCATGCATGGCCGTGGGCCTTTGTCATGTATGGTCATGTTTGCATCAGTCCAATTAAATTCTGATGTCAACTTCCTCGGCTTGTATGGTTCCTACCGACTTATGTTGCAGCTAACTTGGTTCAAATCCAGAACAGAACTTTTTCAGACCACAATCAAGTCAAAGTAATCTAGCATGGTTTTAAAAACTTGCTCATGAGAGGAAAGATCGCCATCAGAGTTTTATCACTCTCTGTTTTGGGATATCTCAAACCTGTGTTTACTTAGATTCTCCAAAAATGATGCCTCGCCCGTATCAGATCCTACAGAAATGCACTACTTTTGAAGGATCCGACACGCACCTGCCAATATGTTTGAAGAGTTGGAGCAACACAGTCTCTAACAATTCAATTGATATCTCCTCATGCAACTTTCATAGTTTCGATTTATCCAAATTCGTATAGCTACTCAAAATTTAGATCTATCAACTTAGTTCTCCTATGTTACTTCATTTTTTATTTTATTTTCTTGGCTGATATATATGTCGTTACTATTTGAACCCCGTATGAATCGGATGGTCTCACATATTAAAACAGATTAGTTTTGTGAAAATCTGACCCTTCAGCCTAACTCAATCCAAAAGCTAGCTCACGAGGGGATGTTTTGGATTCTGAAACATTTAAGCACTTCTTATATGCTTCTCATCTTGATCTATTGAATAAATAACATCCCTTTTTTATCTTCAAAACACCTAGCGTTTTGGGTTTCTCTGCCTGGAATAGCAAAGAGATAGAGTATGCTACTCATATGGTCAAACAAAACCATGTGATAGAAAACATCATCACTTCAAGATCACCTGGTTTATTTGTTTGTGGAGAAGAGACCGAATATGTTCTTGATTATCGGTATTATTGGAAATGCAGGTAACGGTGGGGAGATTACAACTACTCATGTGCTCCTTGGAGTGTGGGCACAACAAGGATCACCAGGTTATAAGGTATTGGCTGCACTGGGCTTCAATGATGAAAAAGCTAAAGAATTGGAGAATATAATTACAGATCCTGGATTTGTGGATGATTAAGAGGATGATTTGCAATCAGATTAGTCATTTATCGCGATTTTGTTCTTTCTTTTCGTTCTAGATTTCTTTCAATTTTTGGAGGATGCATCCTTCTCAGAGGGCTTTGAACATGACCAAAGCCTCTATGTTGTTTGTTTAATGGGGTTAGTGATATCTATCTATCATTAAGATTCAAGTCCTTCAATACTAAATGGCGCGGACTGGATTCAGTTGGGTCATTCCACTGGTACAACTAGTCTCTCGATTCAATATCTATAAAGGACTTCAAGGGAGATAAAATTCAAGGGCCTAGTATTTTTTTGTATCCCCTATTCTTTAGATACAAATCGATCCTTCTATAATTCGAAATTCATCTTCTTAAAAAATTAGTTATCTTTTGAATGATCATCCACCTTCACACTGACCTAAAATCTATTATTAATAACTCTTTTCCAAATTACCTTACACATTAGAGTATATATATCTAGTGATTCGAGGGCTTCTTTATTAGTTTTAATATTAATAATTTTGTTTAAATTTAATACAAATACAAGAATTTGCCTATTTTTTTGTACTCTATTTTCTCATGGTTAAGTTACAAATAGAATTTTAGTTATGGAATTTATGCGGATTAGTAATATATATTGGTTAACTAATTAATATAGTTAAAGTTTGAATTTATTACAACTCGCAATCTCTTTTTAGCTATAATTGTGTGCGCCTATCTCGTCTCTTCTTCTCACTCTCCTCTCTTATACAAGTACAAATTATAAATACATATATATAATTATATGACATATATACAAATACAATTTGCCTCTCTCATTTCTCTATGTCCTCTATCGTCATCTCTTTCCTTTTTCTCTCAATCTCGCTTGCCTCTCTCCTCCCTCTCTCAATTTCGCTTGTCAGATATGTATGCATACCTGTTACATATACATATACAATTGGATAGATATACAAATACAATTCATCTCTCTCCACTCTTTGCCCTCTCTCCTTTCTCTAACATGTAGCTATGAATTATAATTAACAAACTATAGCTATGAATTATAATTAATAAACTATGAAATTTACTTAAGTTATTTTTAATAGCTATTCGCGAAATTTCCCCCATTCAGATTCGTAAGAAATGAAGTGGGCCTTCTTGAATAGAATTAGGCAGTAGGGACAGAATGAACATTGAGCCCTATGGTGCAGAGATATCGAATAAAAATGACAAAATAGTCACTTTTCAGTCCTCGTAATTAAAATTTAGCGTTTTCACTTCTTTAAAATTCCAAAAAAAGGGGTTATTTTTTTTTATTAAAAAATAATAATAATAATCCAAAAAGTGTTTATTTCTACTAAGTCAAAATGAGAATGAAAATTGAATGATGGGAATAAATGAGTCTGTCCATTTTGAGCTAAAAATAACTGAAAAAATTCAATGTTGCTCTACTCCCAACTCACTGCAAACTAAGGAAGATCGATGCTCAGTTAAATGCAAAATACCCAACTATTTTTGCTAGCATTTACTGTTACAATTTATTGTTGCAACAATAATCCACTTCCCCATTTATTCGTGATTTATTACTAAAATAGATTTTTATTTTTATTTGTCATTTTTGATATATTAAATAAATATAATTATCTTTTTTCATATTTTATCGTTAATATTAAATATTAGACATTAATTAATAGGAATAGAGTGGTAAAATATTTATATGAGTAATTATTTTCTTAATTGACGTGTCAAGTTAAACAATGACAAATAAAAATAAATCGATCGAGTATATATAATTTGATTTTCCAGTAAAGGTGTTCAATGAACCCTTGGATGCATCTTCAGAAACATCCGATAAAATTAGAATAATACCGACGAAAAACAGAGTAACAAATCAAGGCAAGAATTTAAAAGTGAATCATCCAGTGGTGGAGCATTCATAGAACAAAAGGTCTCGCCTAAAAAATGACAGATTTTTTCAATATTATTTATATGACATGATCAAGAACTAAGAAATTAATCGAACCCTCTTCTAACGTTCGTTTTACTTTTAGAAGACCCAATAGAAGTCATGTAGCCAGTAACGCATCGAAACATCAAGTCTGAAAAATTCTCATTTGTGATGATGTAAAAAAAATAATAATGTACACAGTTGTACATGAATTAATATATCAACCTATTTGGTGGGAATTTCACTAGGTAGAAAATATATATATATATATTATACCCCACTAAATATTGGACCATCACATCTCCAAGACTTTTTGTAAGTTTTTATTTATTATTCTACTAAGTAAATTAAAATCAACATATAAATCTAACCATATTGATTTGCTTTTTATTTAAATTTTTTTTTCTAAATGTTTACTTCTGTTCAGACCAAGAAGGTGAGTGCTCATATAAATCATAACATGTGCTACCCCCTACCATGTCTATTTTTATTTAGCCCTATTGTAAAATAATATTGTTAATAAATTTTACGTGTATTCGATGTTTATATTAAATAAGCTGAGAAATGCATGATATATAATACTTGTTCTTTTATCTCTAGTTTGAGTTTTCGTAATTAGTACATGTCAAATTAATAGAGTGGAGTAATATGAAATATGACAATTTCTCTAAGACGAAAGGCTTAATTTTTCCACGAATTAATGAGCCATAATTAACCAAAACATTATTCCTGCCGTATTAATTTTTCCATTAATAATATTATTAATAAGTATACATCGCTGTCATAAAAGATTCAGCTGTAATATGTAGACTGAAGAAAAATGGCAACAAATTAAATTTCTCTTTATATATATTATTTTTGAAAGGTAAAGAAAAACACTACTTGGCAATGAACTCACCACGATTAACTCAATCGCGGTATGGATTCAAAATTTGAACGAAATTAATATATTATAATGAAAATTTAAATTTGATCGATTTAGATTCTTGTCATCAAACACATTACATGAGATTATATTATAGGTTCCTCTTCTTCTCTTTTGTTTTCGAGGAAATTTTTAATAATTTCTATATATCTATATTACGTATCGAAAATATTTGAGATCGATCGAATCAATATTAATCCTCAGCTAGTGAAAAGTTTTAGTGCTACCAACACTAACGAACAACAAACTTATTCATATGCATTGAGCTTTTATTTCCTCCTTTGAAAGCAGAAAAAAAAATGGACAACTTATATATTAACATGTAATATTTATTTTGTTACGTATTTATGACTTGTTAAGTTATACAAAATTTATGTTGGTATTAATTTGGAAGGTGATAACTTCCATGAAATGTTTGCAAGGCCACATATTTTATATAAGTAATAAAGCTCATAGCTTAATAAACTATACCTTATATTTATCATTTTCATAATGAACATAAAATAAACTAAAACAATATAGATGAGTCAATTTTAATTCAGCTACCACCCTATATTTTTCCCCATTAATTCATAGAGTTGCAAAATTTATCGTCGTATTTATTATGATTTATAGCCATGTGATTTAAAATGTTTTTTCAAAGTCTTATTCGAAGCTTTTTAGTCTTACGTATAGTGTATTACCCACAAATCATATACTTCCTCCGTCCAGTGTTATTTGTCATGATTTCTATTTTTAATATCAAACTATAAAGTCTTTGACTAACATTTTAAGATACATTTTTTTTATCATATTAATATGTAAAAAATTATAATTTATAGTACTTTTCATATAATTTTAGAATATCTTATTTTTTTTATTTAAAATATTAAATTAAATGTGATCTAATTTACCTTTGAAAATTAATCAAATTGACTTTCGATAAGCGTAACATGACAAACAATTTGATAAGCACAACATGACAAATAATTTCGAACGGAGGAATTAAGTGATAACGAACATAAAATAAACTAAAACGACATAGATGGGTCAGTTATTAATTCAACTACCACCCTTTATTTTTCCTATTTTCCCCATTAATAACTAGAGTTGCAAAACTTACCATCGTATTTATAATGATTTATAGCCATGTGATTTAAATTGTTTTTTCAGTCTTATTCGAAACTTGTTAGTCTTTAAGTATAGTGTATTACCCACAATTTCATCTTCTTTAATAGAGTATTAAGTGAGCAATTAGAATGAGTTTAACCTGTTTGAAATTATACATAATTAATTACCTTTGAGGTGAGTATGCTTAAGCTGATTCGAATTAATAAATATATTATGAAAAATGTTATAACTGCGTACTAATATATGGACCTATGATGTTAGGAGTAATTAAAAAATAATCATTTTTCTGACTTGTAATTTAAAAAGTATTCGAATTCAATAAAATTTGTTTTGCTCTCGAAAATAAATATTATTTCTAAGAAAAAAATAATCTCAACGATAAATTAAATAGATCTTATTTATTAATAGAAAAGAGTGACTTTATTGTGTCACCAATATTTACCCAATTAAATCACCACCTAAGTTTTTATGCCACTTCTCTTCTATTCTTAGAAGCCAATCCAAACTTTTTCAAAAACATATATATATATATTTTGTACCTTTGCCAATTTACTACGTTTTCTTGGGCACTTATATAACCCCACGTAAAAAAAAAAAACATTATAGTAAAATTTTATAATATGGTGCATATAATGGTTGCCACTTGGAATTCCATACAACTGGAACCCATATAAATTTAAATGAGTCCTTCAAAAGACTCAAATAGAATATTCTCATGGTGTATTTGTGTTCTTTTCATACTGATAATAATTAATTGATTAATTAGTGGACTAAAACCTTCACGTGCTAATACTTTTGACTATGGAGGTCATTAACTAACCTAATTAACAAAAGAAACTTAATCTTGTACGATTAGGGAAACTATTTTCTATTATTTTTATGATTTGGAAATCTTCCAAGTGGAACCTTCTGTATTACGAAAGAATCTAAATTACACAGACGATGATGCAAATATATTACGTAGATACTCTCTTAATAACTTAAATTCATTGATTTTAAAGTTGAAAGTGAAGAATGTTTACCTTTTACTGTTTTCTTTCTTGTTAAAAAAGAAAATAAATTCGTTGAGTGTTACAGTTTATTTAAACTATACAGACAATGTAAATAATTGTACACTCCACTTTTATTTATCAAATATTTCAAAAATAACTTTTACTTTTTACTTTTCATTATCATTATGTTTCACCCTCAAAATTAATTGTTTATTCTCCAAAATATTTTCAAAATTTGATATAAATCAATTAATATGAGCATATTGTACTAAAATACTCATATTAATAATTATTATCATATAAGTGTAAAGTACAAAATATACAAGTGAAAATAATCAAACGAATCAATTATTATCAATATTTACATCATAAATTATTTATCATATAATTTATAAATCAGATGAT